GTCCATTTAGACCTCAAGTACATGCACGATGCAGCAAACAAGCTACACGTTGCTTTGAGCTTGGTTGACGGTGGTACTTCCTTTCATGCGGCTTGCCTCCTGAGAAATCGCAAGGCAGACTACGTGGCCAGGAAATTCCTTCGACGCTGGTGCTCCATGTACGGTACACCTGCCACGGTCTACGTTGACCAAGGGGGAGAATTCGATGAAGCCTTTGTCGGTTGGCTGGAAATGCACGGGATCTATTCCTAGTGCACAGGAGCTCGAGCCGGTTGGCAGCACGGGTTTTCAGAGAGGCACAGAGGTCTCCTTGGCCACGCATGGCACGCCATTATTTGGCAATTCAAGGCCAAAGGACGCACGGAGATGAAGGAGGCTTTGGGATGTGCAATACAAGCCAAGAACCAGACCATAACCAGAGGAGGATTCACACCGTACCAAATGGTCTTCGGCCGTGCGCCGCTGTTTCCAGATCTCTTGGAGGAGGACACCACTGGCAATTTGGCATTGAGGGAGTCGCTAAGCACCGAAGGAGAGATCGTGAGAAGTGCCGAGATGAGAGCAGCGGCAAAGATCTCATTGATGCGACAAGATTGTCAAGATAAGCTGAAGAGAGCGCTTCGAAGATGGCCCAGGGGCACCATGAAGGACTTCACACCCGGTGAGATGGTCTTCTTCTATGTCCCTCAGCCCACAGCCAAGCGGTTCCGTCGAGAAGCTGGCGCATGGCGGGGGCCAGCTGTGGTGTTGATGAAAGAAAGTTCGGAGCGATACTATGTCAGCTGGCGAGGCCGATGTTTGTTGGTTGCAGCACCCAACCTCCGTGCATGTTCAGAGCTTGAAGGAGGTGATTTTCAAGGTCGCATGGAAGCATTGGACAACCTACAAGACAAGTGGCCGGACAACAAGGAGTTTGAAGACATGACACATGTCCCTCCACCTCCAGAAGAAGGCAAGAAGGAAGAAGAAATTGGATGGCAGCCTCAAGAAGAGGTCATCGTTCAGAAGAAAGGAGGATGGAGCAAAGCAAGAGCAAAGGAGATTGCCAAGAGCTTGAAAGGACTCCGGAAGGTGCAGAAGACAATCAAGAAGGATAAGGGCCATAAAGGCAGAGTGCAGTTGGAGATAAGAAAAGAAAAGAAAGAAGATAGGACGCCTGAGGTGACCGTGCCAATTGAGGAAGAAGATGAAAAGAAGGAAGAAGAGAAGTCAGACAAGATGAAGGAGATCGAGCAGCACTTAAAGGAAGCTGTGGCGAAGGTCTTGGGTCCTGATGACAGTGAAGGATTCAAGAAACGGCTGAGAGAGCGTCTTCAAGACGATGTTCCATTCAGCCTGAAGCAACGGAGGACAGAAGAAGTGAAAGGAGGTCTGACAGAGGCCGAGCTTCAACAAAGATTCACACCAGAGATGATGCGCTATGCCATGCTCAGCCTGGTGGGTGAAAAGACAAGGTCAACAAGACAAGAAGTCAGGAAGATGGCTGACCTTTTGGATTTGCCCATCACAAGTATGCGATATCACATCGCACCAAGGAAGCGCTTTCAACGGCCCACCAAGACTGAAAGAGGACGCATCACCCTGATGTTTGGAGAAAAGAGTGGAACAGCTTTGGTCTGCCAGGAGAATGAAGAGGAAGTGAGGACAAGACCAAGTAGAAGAGCACTTCACGCCTGGCGAGGAGTCACTTTCTTCGTCAGGGAGCAGAAGAAAAGGCCAAAGGAAGGAAAGGTGCTGGTGGAGTTGCCATCCGGCATCTATGAAGTGCAAGTTGAAGATGTAGAAGAATGGATGAAGCTGCGAAGAGAAGAGGAGGACCAGCAGGCATTTCACGAAGCCTACTTGCTGATCAACAAACAAAATGGAAAGGAGCTTGACCCTCGTCACTTCAATGCCCAAGCAAGGGCAGCCTTCGATGAAAGTGACAGCAAAGAATGGACGTCCTGGATCGATAACAAAGTGATCCGCAGGCTTAGTGAAGAGGAGATCAAGTCTTTGAATCCTGATGATGTGTTCAGGGCGCCAGCACGACTCATCCGAGTCAACAAAGCCGCCTTGCATGGTGGCTTCCAAGCAAAGTCACGGCTTGTGGTACCAGGCCATCAGGACCCACACCTGGGCTCCTACAGGTCAGATGCCCCAACAACAACATGGTCAGCAGTGCAGCTCACCAAGATCATCGCTCTCACAAAGAAGTGGGCAGCAGCATGCTTCGATGTCAGCACAGCTTTTCTTTCGGGCAAGCCTGTTGAGCGTACAGTGGTCATCAAGGCACCACCAGAAGGTTTACCAGCAGTCTGAAATGAGCCTCCAGTTCGCCCATTTGAACTTCTGATGCTGTGCAAGTCGGCCTATGGGCTATCCGAAGCACCAAGATTGTGGGTCTACGGGCCAAAGAGCTTTGGAGGAGCTGGGATACATTGAGTTGGATCTCTGCAGGGCAACCTTCATTAAGAAAGCTGGCAATAAGGTGATCGCAATTTTGTGTCTTCATGTTGATGATGGTCTCTTTGTCACCTCTCCAGCGAGGATGTCAGCTGCTCAGAAAGAAATCAGCTCAAAGTTCAATATCAAAGAGTGGCAAAACATGGGTGACAAGCCAATCACCTTCTTGGGTGTCAGCGCCACCAAAGAAGGCCAGTGTTTCAAGGACAACATGGCCGAGTATGTGGAAAAGATCCAGCCCGCTGAAGTCACGACAGCAAAAGCAGGCAGACTGGCAGGTGATTAGTTGTCATCCTTCCGCCGCCTGATTATGCAACTGCGATGGCCAGCTCACCTCATCATGCCAGAGTTCTTGTACCGTGTGAGCGCTTTGGCACAAAGGTCGCAACGGCATGTGGTGAAGATCTGAACAATGCCAACCAGTTGCTAGTGGCTATGAAGAAGGCAGCAGCTGAAGGTGGAGCAGAAAACTTACTCCATCCAGTACCAGGAGAAGCTTGGTTTGTGTCGTACTTCGACGCCAGCCTTGGGAAGAGTGAGGCCATGACGGCCCAGCAAGCTGAAATCCACTTCCTGACGGGAGTGGAAGTTGAGAAGAAGCCCACCAAGGCCAATATGCTGGAGTTCAATAGCAGCAAAGTACACCGTGTGGTGAGGTCAAGTCTTGCTGCTGAGAGCTGCGCTATGACCTCCGCGGCAGACAAGATCCTCTACAACAGAGCTTTGTTTGGAGCCCTCTTCCATGGGCAGGAGGTGGCAATGGAGGCAGGAGTTGAAAGTTGGTGGCATCATCATCACTGATGCCAAGGGTCTCAACGACCACGTGAATAAAACTGGCAGCATGGCCAGTGAGAAACAGGCAGCTCTCGACATGTTGATGGTGAAGCGCCTGGTGGAGGACCAAGTGCTGCGACTTCGTTGGGTCCCTACCTGGAAACAGGTAGCAGATCCTTTGACAAAGGAGATGTCCACTGAGCTTTTGAAGCAGTTCCGACAAACTGGAAAGCTTTGCTTGGTGGAGACGGTGGAGGACCAGGCGGAGGAAGCTCGACGTGCTGGAGTGCGAAAGGCACAAAGGGAGAGACGCATGCAGCGCATGGTTCGAGCAAAGCAGCAGAGCAGTGGCAGCAAGGAAACACTCATTTCCTTTGATGTGAAGAATCCATGACGGTTGACGTTGGACGCTTTCCTTGCTGCTTGAACGTTGTTTGTGGACGCCGCCGCATTTACATACAGAACATCGATGTTGGCAAGCTTGAAAAAGAGCGCAGCTTTGTTTTGCTTTTTCGCGATGTTTGCACACACTTTCATTTGCAGTGCGCCTTGGTTCTTTTGTGGTTGCACCCCTAAGACTGTTTTTGGGAGTGGCGCCCCATCAGATCCACACTTCTAACCTCGGCCGTTTTCGATAGTTGTCAACATTTTCATCGGTTAGACATTCATTTATTCCAAGGTGCAGACAGCTTTGCTTATCCACCCTGCCACTGGCTTTGCTGGCAAGAGTTGTTTGTTGTGATTTTGGCAAGGTAAAATGCCACCATGAAGCAGAGCTCAAAAAGGTTACATGGCTTGCTGATGAGTCCAACCATACTGGCAAATCAATGGCCTGCCCACTGCTGGCCCTGCTCAAAAGCGTCCTGGTCCAGTGCAATCACATGGATCGAACCTTGAAAAGCTGGATGTCCTGATAAGTCAGCCTGATAAGAGGCAGGAATAATCAGATATCACCAGTAAACATCACCAATAATATACTGTTGTTGGCCAGGAATGTATTCGGCCAACCACTGGCGCGCCATGTGAGTGTGGGGATGCTCCGTGTTGGAGCCCGGAGCATCGCTGGCGTCGCTGTGCCGTGGGTTCGGTGTCTGAGCTCCACTGGACAGGTGTGGGGTTGAAGTCAAGCTATTGGGGACATTCGATCCCGAGGGGCTTTGGTGATTTTGTCCCCGTGCCAGTTGATCCTGTGCTGTTCTTGAAGGAAAGAAGCAACAGTTATATACATGACACAACAAGTTGAAAGAAACCAGTGAACAGATGAGGCTCAGATGAGGTGAATTTCTTTTCTTTCATTCGGACGAGTTGCAGGACATGCCTTGGGGCTTTGTGTGCCACAGTGGTTTGGCGCGGGCGACCTCGACCAAGATGCCCGCAAAGCTGTGGTGGAAGGCTGGACGACTGAACGGTTCAATAATCACTTAATTCATTTGGGTGGCAGCCCTATCAACTTTTTTCCCCGTTGAAGGTCTTATTGCGCCCCAGTGAGTAAGACCTTCCCGCGGTATTGTGCTGACTGGAGGCGCCTGCATGGGAGCCAAAGCGCTGCAGCGTACGCTGCCGGAGCTCCAGTCTTTCCTTATGGCAGTTGAAGACGAAGATGCTAGCATTGGACATGGAAAAGTGAAGTACCATGCCCCATTGAGAAAGGCAAGGGGGGAGTCATGGCTGGGGTGTTGTGAGATTTTGATGCTTGCACTCATGTTGCATTTCAGAGGTTTGCCAAAAACCTTAAAACCATCAATGATTTGATCGAACAGTGCGAGAAACTGGATCAGGTAATGGCCGGGGCATCAAGCTTCTTGCAATCCCGCCAGCCAGAGCAGGCGGGCATGACAGAATTTAGCGACCGGTCACAGTCTGCGAGGAGCCTTGCGCCAGAAAGCAGCATGAGACCGCCAGGTCTTCACCATTGGAGGCGACTGCTCGGTGGACCTGGCCCCTATGAGTTACTTGCGGTGGCGCTACCCCAAGCTCCTAGTGGCCTACATCGATGCCCATGCAGATCTCAATGCGGAGTGGGAGTCGCCCTCGGGGCACTTCCATGGCCTTTTGGCAAAGACAGAGCGAGGGGGTGAAGCATGGTGAAGGGGATAGTGACAGGTCCCGAAATAATGGAAGTGGATGGGCAGGGTCCCTTGGATGGCAATTTTCCATCATTTTCCTCTACCAACAGGTGGTGAACTCCACTTCCATGAATATGTTCAGGGAGTCTATCTCTATGGATCATCATGGATCCAGCGCCAAGGGATGAGCCTCCGAGCGTTGCTGGGTACTGCACCTGAAGACTTGCAGCCCCGGGTGCCGCTGGAGGCAGCTCGCTTGGCTTTGCTCGGCAGGAGGCCCAGCTGAGAAAGCATCCGTCATGGAAGGGGTTCCTATGGATTCCTGATGAAGTGCAAAAGACTAGTGCTGCCAGTGAGGTGCCCGCGAGTTGGACTCTTCTGAGCAGGTGTTTGTGGAAAAGAATGAGGTGAGAAATGGCAAGACGGAAAGTTAATATCTCTTTTTTTGGGGGGGCAGTTTGCTGGTAGTACCTCAAGGGCGGGAAGCCTGATCTGTTCTCCTCACTTTCCTGTGACATTTCAAGTTCCACGCCTGAGGTGCGGTTATTGAGCACAGCTGATTTGAAAGTCCAGGATGCAGCCCAGGACCCTTGTCAAGCAAGAATGAAATTGATTGGCCTTGTAGGGCCCAGACCGGGTCAAAGCATGTCACACCAGGTTTTGTAATTAGTAATGAGGCTGTAGTTTAGAAAGGCCGCCTTATGCCAAAACCAACGTGGATAGGTGCTTCCTCTTTTTGTGATTTGTTCGTATGTTTCTTGCTTTTTACAGGTGCTGGTTGACATGGCTGGCGACGGCGTGGTGCACGTCCACCTGGATTTGGACGTCCTGGATCCCGTGGAGTTTCCTCATGTGATGCTGAGCGCAAGGGCGTCGAGGGCATTCGAGCTGGGCAGTGTATCAGTGTATCGCAGCGAATTCGGGGCAAACGAATCGATGGCATCGAGCAGGCCTTTCTGGGTTTACGTCGTGCGGCGCTTTTGTGGTGCCTCTTTTCTCTTCGCCAACGGAGAAACGTACCGTTTGTCTTCTCAGCGGTTCAGAATTCGAGCCGGTCGACCTTATTTTTAATTGATCCATAAGTATCCATAAGTTGTGTGTTGATGGGCGGGGCGGGCCTAATTTCGGCCCTAGGTGAAGCTGTGCCAGCAAATGTTGACTGGCTGACTTGGTCCCTAGCCAAGGAACGTGCCAGCCGAAGGCCTGGCCTGCCTCGGGTTTCACTTAATTTAATTTCATACCGGCCGGCTGGCCAAGCTTCAAAGATTCCTTCTCACTCTCGAGGTTGACTGCGAGGACTCGTAATAGCGGCCAGCGTGAAACCCTGGTGTGGTTTGCGTGGTGTTGCCTTGATCAATCCAGCTGCCCCTTCACAAAGCCATTTATATATATATATATCATAGTACTAGCCTCTAGCTACTTATTACTCTGGCTAATTATATACTACTATCTTAAAGCCTCAATTACTACTGCCAAGGCTGCACGTGCTCCTAGATGCTCCTCTGAGTGCTCCCTTCGCTGTCAGGAGGCCTCAGTGTGCAGCAGTTGCTGCGCCTCTTGCACAGCATCTCCGCTGCCTTCCCTGGCCGTATTTGTGGGGTGACCCTGACGGAGTTTCGGCCACGTGGCCAGGCGGAACAGACGAAGGGAGAGCTGCAATTGGGCCACTGAGAGATTTGCTTGTAAGAAGTCTTCCTTTTCTTTTTCCATTTAGCGATGGTCTCCAACCTAGAAGCGATGGTGTCAGAAACTGTGCTGGATGCATGGCATCAAGGGTGCTTGGAATTGCAGGTGTTCCCACCCAGCTCCAGAACCTCGGCACAGGTGAAGGGTCTTGACAAGTTGCTGGAGAGCTTTATGGGGCCCGACGGCCTAGATCTTGCCAAGCAGGCCTGAGAGCCTAAGAGCTGGACCAAGCCGTTTGAAACCTTTAGATTCCAAGCAATGTGAGATGTTACCTAGTAACAAATAGCTACTAGATGCTACTAGTCGCTTTTTGTTAGAGTAAGCTTCTTGTTACCGTCATGTGCCAGTTGTAGACTCAGGACCTGGTTGGTGCCGGTGTGCTTTCACTGGGAACGAACTGGGAATTTCACCTGTCCGTAGCCACAAAGGACTCCAGGTGCAGCGACCGCCATGGCCAGAGTGCACTCCCCCGCGCACGGTGTGGGTAGAGCGCTTCGCCCTGGTGACGTCGGTGAGACTCGGCACCTGCACCTTCGACCCCTGACGTCTGGAGGGTCTGAGTCTGGGGGGCTGGTGCTGTCCAGTCGAGCGCGCTCCTTCACGGCTCTTGGTGCTTTGCTCGGTGCACGTGCCGCCCGAAGAGCGAAGACGGACACTTCTACACTGACCTTAGAGTCCTTGGAGCGGGCAGATGGTGCCAGTGGACGCTTGGAAGGAGAGGTCTTCCTCATCCAGACACCCTTGACTTTGCCATCCCCTCTCCGTGCATTGGCGCAGTTCCTGCCAAAGCACTCTGTGGTCCTGGCCGCGCTCCACGAGGGCGGCTTTGCCGCCTTCGACTTTGTGCCAGCGGCACCACAGGATCCACAGGCGGCCGCACGGCTACTGCTGGGTGGCTCGGTGGAAGGGCTTTTCGGAGCACGGGAGTTGAAGCGGCTCCCCAAAGGTGCTGTGCGGCTGGGGAGGGTGAAAGAGGACTTGGCTGTGGAGGATGTGACTGCTGCAGTGAATGGCTCATTTGACCCGCAACTCTCCTTGGTCGAGAATGACTGCAATACCTACTCCCAAAAAGTCCTGGAAGCCATCCTCGCAGATCCGGAAAAAATGGTCCAACAGCGCTTGTTCTCCACACTTGACTGGGAGGGAATCGACTCAAGCAACACGATTCAATATAAAGAGCCATCCGTTCTCAATGCAATTGTGCTGGTTGCAGGCACCACTGTCGGAGCTGGCATCTTGGCGCTCCCAGCAGTCACCCAGCCAGCTGGATTCGTTCCATCCACCGTGGCGCTCACGGGGGCTTGGATGTACATGGCCATCACCGGGCTTTTTGTGGCCGAAGTGGCTTGCAAAACGATGGCCTCGACGGGTAAACCGGCGACCTCGCTGAAGTCCATGGCGGCGGGTGCCATTGGACCTGCGGGTGCTTGGTGGACGTCGGCCTTCTTCGTCTTCTTACACATGGCGCTCCTGATCGCCTACTGCTCCAGAGGCGGTGAGCTTCTGGTTTCGATCCTCCCAGTTCTTGGCATCGGGGTACCTCCTCCCGTCCTTTTCGCAGGGATTTTTGGTGGATTCATTTTCTTCACCAAGGGCACGGACACATTGGATAAGGGCAATAACGTGTTTGCAACAGTTGTGGTCGCATCCTTCTTTGCCTTAGTGGCCTTGGCCGTTCCGGCCGGCAGCACGGAACGACTCTTTGCAGTGAGCGATTGGTCCCAGGCGACTGATACAGTTCCCACCTTGCTTTTGTCTTTGGTCTACCATAATGTGGTGCCGACAATCTGTGCTCAGCTGGAAGGCGATCGGGGCAAAATCACCAAGGCCGTTGTGATTGGCAGCCTCATACCCTTCTTGATGTTTGTCGTTTGGAACGCAGCGGTTCTGGCAGCCCTGCCAGCCACCTTCACTGCTGGGGCCGACCCCCTGGAAGTGCTTCGGAACACAGGTGAGGGCACCAAAATGGTTTCCTTTCACTAGGTCACTAGGAGAAATACGGAGAAATACCTTCGAGTTTCGAGATTTACGCTCCTTTCCCTGCTCCTTTCGGAGGTCCTGCGAAGGACTCATTTAATCCGCAGCCCAAACCAGGTAATCCCTTGGTGGCGGGTGGCATTTTGGCCTTCTCTCTGAGTGCCATCGTCACATCCTTCCTGGGCTTCGTGGTGGCCTTGACGGACTTCTTTGCCGACCTCCTCGACGGCGGCGAAGCAGCGGGCAGTGCACCCGAGTCCCTGGGCGCCAAGGCCCGTGACTTTGCTCTGACACTGGGGCCGCCGGTGCTGGTGGCCTGCTGGGATCCCAGCCTCTTCTTTCAGGCGATCGATAAGGCTGCTTGGTCCGAGCATCCTTTTTGTGGGTTGGGGTTCGGGGTTCATTCCAAAAGAACAATGGGAGCTCCTTCGTTCCAACTGAGGCCGGTGCCTTTGGAGTTTCAACGCTCTTTGGATTGCTTCCTGCTCTGATGGTCCTCTCACAGCGCTCCACGGAGCCACTTGGAGTTGCCTTGAAAAAGGCTTCCATGTCTTCTTCTTGGGTTTTTTAGCCCAATTCAATTCTCGCGAAGAAGTTTGTGCTTGTGGAAGAGGTTGATAGGATGTGCATGGACGTGCACATATATATATATATATATTGCATATGGCTCATATGGCGTAGACATGGATGTGAACACACCAAATGATCCTCGAATCCTCACACGTTTTCTGGCTTCAGGGTGTCAACCGAGTCCACCCGAGTCCACCCGACCGCTTCAGGTCTCCGGTGCTCACACGAAATCCTCAGTTCTTGGGCGGATATGTCCGTGGGCCCATCGTTCGGGGCCCGCTGGTGCCGATTCTCATCGCGCTCGGGGCTTTGCTGGTTGTGGGCGACAATGCCTTGGAGCTGCTTCAGGGATGATAAGGACGTTTCCACGAATGTCCCATGAGATGCGAGGAGAGACGCTTGTTTGAGATTTGCTTCTTTATAGCTTGTGGATGGGCTTTTTCAGCAGACCTGATTCAACTGCTGCCTAGGCTGTAGGACTTGGATGGAGTTGGTACTTTTGTACCGAGTCTCCTTCCAAAATTTTCAAGGGTTCCACCCTTCAAACTTTCAAGGACAGAAGTTCTTTGCAGCTATTGCGTGAAGATGGATTTCAGTAGATGCTTGACGGCGAAGCCGAAGCAATCATGGATGAATGCATGAAAAAAAATCGTAGTTCCAAGCGGAAGCAGGACCCGACGGGGCCCACGGTGTATAGAAATTATAGAACACATGCTTAAGCAATTAACATCCACTATAAAGAAATTCGCGCATACCCTTTATTCGGCCCTTTAATGTCTTACATACTGGAGTGCCATGCTGAACTTCATATAGATGTGTTGGTATCTGGGGCAAGGAGAAGACATCGCAGTTCGGTCATGCTTCGAGATGAGTTGGTTGACCCGTTGGACTGAAGCGAACAGCTGATCGAACACTGGGTTACTCAATTAATTCTATTGCCTGTGAGTGCTTCATGTGGCAGGTGGCCAGCTGGCGTTCAGTGAGCAGAGAGTGATGGCATGATTGTCGCCATGGACTTGGTGAGCGTGTCAGATAGGCCAAACATGGCCAAAGCAAGTGGTTCTGCACCTGGCTCAAGAAGCATGGGCATGCATGTGCCAGAAAGGGATCGGGATGGTAGCATGGGCATGCATGGAGCCATTGGAGATTGCATGTCGATGTGATGCTAGCCACTGGGCTAAACCGCCAGGCCCCAGGGCGCTTGCCTGGGACGTCAAGAGGCTCGAAGGCGAATGGCTGTGCTGGTGGAGCTGGGGTGCTCAGGCCAAAGGAGCAGATCTATGGCCTCCAAACTACTCAGGCCAAAGGAGGACATGTTTCCTCCCTGTTGCAGCTAAGTGTTATCCTTTCCGCGAATTGGGGTCGGTACAGTAACTTGGCGGCGCACATATCTCTCAGCCAACTTATATATGGAAACCATAGGTTTGGTGTAGGGTTCTTTTCAGCTCCTGCTCAGACTTGTTGAGGTGGTCAGCAACTGAGATCTTTGGGCACTTCACGTTGCAGGCTCGGGCTCAGGGTGATCTTGGATGTGCAAGAAAAGCACTGAAAAAAAAGGGTGCACTTCAACATTGGGCACCGAGATACTTTGCGCACGGAGATGCTACAGAACTGCTACTGTAGAGCTGCAAACTTCAGAGAGGCAAGGCCAGCCCTCTAGCGTCAACTCTCAAGCAATCACGTGACGTGCCTCGCTCCTGATTGTAGGACTTCATACACCATGTTTGGGACTGCCAGCAGCGCAACAACTTCTTTGGTCACTGCATTGCTACCTGAGTCCCTGGCTGCAGGCGGTGATGGACATCGTTCTGGCTCTCCTCCTAGAGTTCCGCATCGTGGTCGCCGGGGCCTGAGCTCCGGCTCCTGAGGCCCACGAATGGGAACACCGAACCCCAGAGGACTACTGTATCAAGATTCTGTGTGATCAGGTCCATGGACGAGTTGTCCAAGAGAGAGGGATGAACGAATTATATGTGTGACGGATGTTTTTCGGCCATCTCTTCTCCACGCGTCACGTGTGTGGAGCTCTCAGCTCTTTCAGCTCAGATATCGGAAGCCCGAGAGTTGGGCTCGCAGCTGGTCTTAGGTGGGAAGCCGGGGAGATCCAGTTTGGTGGTGGGCGAAATTTCCGTGAGTCGATCACCATATCGAAGCTGAGATAGGTAGATAGGTAGGGAGCCACTTGTGAATCGTTGGAGCAACTGCGAATTCGGCTTGTGCAAGCTAGATCGGATTAGATCGGGTCCCCGGGGCAGGTTTGACGGCGCTGCTGTGGCCTTTCAGCGGCTTGACTGGAGTGTTGGGCGTAAGTGACAGCAATTGGCCTCAACATGGACGGACAGTTCAACCTTGCAGTTATCCGCTTCCCCCCACCCATGCAAGCTTCAGCCCTCTGACTCTGATCAGTAGCATCCATACGACTCAGGTTGGCAACATTTGCAGTTGCCCATTTGCCCGCCATACCTTCAGGACGACCTTTGAATCCTGATCTCATCAGTGTTCTTGGTATTGAATTTTTGGCTCAGCATGCAAGCGCCCGACAGCACCTGCACAGGAGGCGATCCTTGATGCTCCAGTGCCCTTCATTTGCGCGCTGCCTGAGGTCACTGGCCAGGCGTGGCCAGGGACGGGCGGGGGTTGCGCTCGTGCCCTTTGTGGGGTTGCGCTCGGAAGCTGCATTTGGTCATCGGTCGTCACCAAGACAGGTCGCCTCTGCAAGTTCCGCCACGCACGGGGGCCAGGCTTCACTTATTTATTTGTACTCCTTTCAAGTGCTGCCCGTTCGTGCGTAGAAGGCAGATCAATGTCGAATCTGCAATGTTTAAGTTGGGTGTGTGATGGTGTGTGGGAACACTCCGTGCGCCAACCATCTCCATCCATCTCCAAAAAACGAGGTTGCCAGCAATCGGTTCCCTTCATCGCTTGGGGAGTTGTTGAGTTGTTCTTTGACTCGCCCGGCTCGAGGTGGCACGCTTGGCCGACGCCAAAATTCGGCCGGCCAAGGGTCACCCCGAATTCCCCCACCGTGAAGGAGTCTGGGGGGTGCGCATTCGATTGGATCCCGAACTTTGCAGTCCAAACTTCGGACATGGAGTCTACCTCAAGCGGTTTTGTCAGCTGAATAATAGTAATTACCTCAAACTCCTTCCCAGGTTGACGAACATGACACACACACACACACAAGTTAGATACGGCCCTTGTGCCCTAGATTTGGTGCCATGTCGCCTTTAGATACCTCGCCTCCCAGCGCGGAACTGCCGATGCTGCGGCCATGTGGCAAGCTGGGAATCTTGGCAGCTGGCGGGTCGAGAAGATTTTCTGGGTGAAGCCCAGCAACGCAATGACGCATAATTACAGTAAATGATGTCCAATAATGCGCACACGTGTGCAAATTCCCCCTTTTTTGGACACATCCTGCCACTTCTATGCTCTCACAGTATTGGAGACGACAGTTGCCCTGCAGTCACCATCTGACGAGCTTCGTTGAGGAGGCGAATCGGGGAAGCTGACTCCACGGAGGTTGCCGCCCTGTGAGGGTGCCTTGGTGCCGAGACCGTCGGCTTCGAGACGCCACCGTCCGAGCCATAGCAGCCGTAGCATGCCTTATTGACCATGGGCACACATCCATAGTTTGATGAAACATAAAACGAATTGATTATATAATTAAACCTGAAACACATAGACTCAGACATAGACATTACTGTAGGGGATGATGATACCATTCAAGACTTCTAGTGTATTGGGCTACCCTGTTCCTTAGTTCTATTCATTTTTGATGCACACGCACACACATCTCTATGTAATATACATGATTACATGGTGCTGATGCAGCGTGTCTCACGGAACTCAAGGCTTTCACGAGATGTTGGCCAGCCCCTTGGTCAACGAGCTCACGAACGCCTACCCTCAGGCCAGAGATGTTCCAGTGGCTCGACCGGCCAAGCCCACAGATTCTGTGGCATTTGCTATGTCCAGTCTGTCCGAGAGAAAAAGGAACCAACAAGATCCAACAAGCAGCTAAGCAGTGGGCATTGATTGTGCAACAGTTGTGCGACCAACCATGCCATGCCAGGATATATATATATATATTAGATGTTGTCTCGAGGGGATGATCTCGAGGGGCCGAGGGGAATATATAAAAGATGTTGGAGGCTTTGGCCATGCAAAAACCCTGGATGACGGCTCTCAACCCCTGGTGTGTTCACAGGAGCAAGTTGCGCCGCCAACATTCTTGACACCGCGGCCGCCAGAGACACCACCGAGCCGCCGAAGGGGCCCTGCCCCAGTGGTGGCGGAGGAGGTGAGGAAAGGCAGCTCTATGAGTGTCCTGGTGGTCAAAAGGCAAAAGCGCACTGTGACTTAATGAGCTGCAACATCTGTATGCATGTCATGTTGCGACCTTGCAGGTTTTCATGGGTCTCCCGCTTCAGCGCGTCTCCTGCCTCTGAGAAGCCTAGGTTTGCCACCCTTGCCTTTGACCGCCCGGGAACGGCGCGATGGTCGTGAAGAGCTGGGCGCCAGCGGCAGTAGCATCTCCTCGCGCCGGAGCGGGTCGAGAGGTTTGCAGCCTACGCCACCCTCCAAGGAAAAGAAGAAACCGCCAATGCCCAAGGCCTCCAACAGTGACCTAGCAAAGCGTGGATGAGATTGGATGAGGATAAAGCCGTGTGGAAGCTGACAGTAGTCAATGCGCTTGTCAAGCATGCCAGAACTAACTCTGATTGTGAACAGCTGCAGAGGAGACCTTGTCTTGCGGCAACTTGTGAAGTTTTGTTGTATAAACTGTTTGCAAGCCGCCAGCCATTGTTGCCCATGGACTGACTTGGACGCTTGCCCCTATGTGAGGCGCCCTCGCCGAAGGAGGAGGCAAGTAGTCGCGCCAGCAGCTCGTTGGGCCCAAGCAGACCCAGTAGTGGAGCACCTTGTCCCACAACTGGTCCCAGAATTGGGTTCCCTTGAATTGATCTGATCATATCTGATCATATTGATTTTTTTGCCATTAGAGCCGTGGAAGCTGTTAGAAACACCCAAGACGGTCTTGAAGGAGGGTGGAGCCTTGATCTACTTGCTCCAGATTGCTCATTTGACGGGACGTGTCAAGGACCAAAAAGCGAGCGAAGTGGAGCTCGAAGCACCGGAGCTCGAGGATGTGGAGCCGAAGCCGTGTCAGGTCCCCCAGGCGAATCCGACCTGCAGTAACCTGTCTCAAAGACGGGGCCAGGGCCTCCAAATGTTCCAGGGGTGCTGGATCATTTCCATTTGACCCTTTGACGGACATCCTTGGCCCCCGGGGATTCATGATTCAACAAGGGTTGTGGAGCAATCGATGGCTCGCGGCATGTGTTCTTGATGCAGAGGACGAGATTCTCATTTCAACTTGCTTTACCGTCTCAGGCTTTGAGCAGGTCGTGGAGGATTCCCGGATGCAAGCGGACATTCCGTGCTGGCTAGCTGTGACCAATTCTTGCGTTTTGAGCGCGTCTGTGCCATTATGCGCATGCAGCATCATGCAGCCACTATTGATTCAGACACTTTCACAAAAGTGATTGCATTCAACATGGAGTTCCACTAAGGAGATGGAGAGGGAGAAGGAGTTCCATTTTGCTTCATTTTGCTTGGCTCTAGATCCTTTAAACTAGATGGCAAAAACTGGGTTGAATGACATTTAGGCAAGGCCTCCATATGCAAAGTGCAAAGCCAGGAGTTGTGGAATGAGAAGACGCTGGCCTTACTTTCCTCAAATCCCAACCTCAGTGCATATGCATCGACTGCCACTGCTCCATCATCACCTCCAAGCATCGATGCGACCACTGCGGAGATTATGTCCTGGATGCCGCCAGATGCTGGAGTGACCTGGTAGAGTGTGATTTTGTGGGAGTGACTGACGTGCTCACAGAACGACTTTCAGATGATTGAAGTCTTGAAGTGCACAGTGCACAAAGAGCTTAGGTGGATGAGGCGTTAACAGAGCAGCCAGAGCCAGATACTGCAGAGCCACTGGACTTGGGCGACAGTCTCATCGCACAAGCCATGAGGGAAGCCGGTCTGAATCCGGACTGGAGAGGGGCCGTTGGTTATGGCAAACCGTGACAAACTGGTTGAATGTTGAAACAATTGTTCTAGAGTCTAGATTCTTCTAGTTTAGTTGAAGCAATCGTTCTAGTTTTCTAAACTATGATCACTATATAAATGTGTTGAAAGAAGCCGGCACGCAGCTTGCGCCAAGAAGTCTTAGCAACCGCAGCTACGGCTCGGGTGCGATTCATTTGCATGACCCGTCCAGGACCAGACGTCCTTCACCGATCTGGCCAGTGAGCCGTCCATGGTCGAGGTGCCCGGGGGTAGTGATCAGCAAGACTGAAAGACCTAGTATGAGAAAAACCTTATTATACACACACACACATATATATATACACATATTATACAGTCATATACATATGAATAACATAACATATAAAACATATATATATATATATACACTGTATATATATACATACACATATTTGCACGCACAGAAGGCCCCAACAGCATCAATTAAGAACAAGAACGAATGAGAGACCTAGAAAGCACACGCACAGATATAAATAGAGAGATAGAGGTTCTTCTTGGTTTTGGAACTTGTGGAAAGAAGTGACCTCTCCATTTGTAGCAACCCAGGGCTCAGGACCGACGACCTCCCCTTGTCACGACATATCATATCGCCAAGGTGCCAGAACGGTGTGGTACGTCGAGGTCTTGGCGCAGTTCCTCCAAGTCCTGGGCAGCGCAGCTGGCCAAGCGGAAGAAGGCTGACCATCGCGCAATACCCCGAGAGAGAGAGAGGCATGCAATTAGCTCTAAGTTGGCCTCTTGAAGGATGCGCACTAACAAATATATATATATATATACAATTAGAGCCAAAAAGCAACATCAAATCTTCCGTCTTAGTTACATGCAAATTATCAGCTTCCCACTGATTAAGACGCGTAAGGATAACAGGGCTTCGAATACTAGCCCCCGAATGGCGGCAGGAGCGCTGCAACTCGGGTCGGGCGACCCCATGCAGTGGCAGAGAAACACCTGATGGGTGTCTTGGAGCACTTAGATGCTCCCAGCTGTGTTGACAGGATAGTGAATCGAAGGGCGGGCAGATTGACAGATTGACACGAACTGGCCATTTTCCGTGCCCTTGACTCACATGGACTCCCAAGGCAGCCGTGAGATGGCAGTGACACATCGGCACGAAGTCAATGAATGCATTCCGTTTCACTTTGACCAACCAACCGTCAGAAGCTTCGGCCAAACCAAGTTGAACTTAGAGATGTCCGTGACCGTGGGCATGCAGAAAAGTTTCATTGCCAGCTCGAACTCTTTCATGTGAGGTGAGTGCATAGCGGCATAGCCCACAAAAAAAAGGGATAGTGATGGACCGATGGATGATCCTAAATATGTCCCGAACTGCGTCAAGTGAAGTGTTGCGTTCGCCTCGCGTGGCCGGTGTGGTTCAAGGGGCCGGGCTGTCCCAAGCTTGGCGCCCCCCCCCCAGTCCACGACTTGGAAGCCACTGGGAGAGTGTGGATGACAGTGCTTCAGAGCTATTCAAAGCTGGGAGGAATTTACGAACATCAATTGCCTACAAGAATGGCATGCAAACCGCTACCCGCTACCCCCGTGACAGATCAGTTGTTCGTGCTTTTGCTCCATGATCGTGGTCGTGGTCTAAGCAGAACACCGAGTTGCCTTTTTGACGCCTGAGGTATGTCTTTGTAGAGAGGTGAGTTCCTGGCTCTCTTCAGAGCTCAGGCAGGCAGTGCGGGAGGGAAAAGCCAACCAGGGATGGGTTGGCCCCAGGTGTGAAGAATAAAGAGTTTCTTCGCTGCACCACGCGCCGTGACAGCCTTGACCCTGCAGAATTGGACATCATGAGACTGCAATACCTCCCCCACTTTTCTCCAAGAACGATATGTGTTGGATCATACGAAAACAGTGGCACAAACATGCGCAAACTATCCACACCCGCGATCTTCCAGAAACAGAGATTGGCTCAAAACTTAGAGTTCGCCAAATGATGGGATCATCATTGGAAGTGTTTGTCTTGGGCGGCTGGTTGATTGTCCTGGTGATGCATCAGTTGGTCATCCAGCCCAAGACACTTCGTGTGAAGCTACTGAGCTGCAATTCGTTCTGCGCCCAGGCGCAGTGGAACAGACGAGCACTGGAAAGCAATCAAAGCCTCATTACGATCACCAGGCGATTTTGTTTCGATGGAGTGCCCTTGGAAGATGTCATGAGCCGCTTTTGCCCACAAAAGAACTTATCAACTTGTCCCATCAAGCTATTAGTCAAGAAGCTGAGGATACCCTATTGAGGCGTCAGAGAGGGTTGTGCTTGCCACATTCCACTTGACTGACAGTATGTGGAAGGCATTTTCCAGCCCCTTCCTGCGTGCTACAAGCCTCCAACCTGCGTGATACTGGTGTTGGAGGCAGGCGCACACATGCCGTTGTCATAGCAGGCAAGACGCGGGATGCGTGGTTGGTGAACAACTCCTGAGGCGAAGGGTTTGGTGATGATGGCTACTTGGGGGGCAGCAAGGGATGCTCTCGAATTCACACTATGATGTGTGCTTCGGACAGTGCGATTTGAGCTGATCGGAGATCAAAGCTTATCGATTGCAGTTCTGGAGGTTCGGCTGGATTCCCCACAAAGATCACGTGTGAATCGCGTGAATCCAATTTCCCTCGCTTGGTTGGGAGATCGATTTTGCAACTTTCCGCATTGAAAGAGTGCGAAAGCGAAATTGCGCAGTGCTACTTGGAATCGTGAGCATCCTTATGAGAAGATTCAGCCAGGTTACCAGATAAATTCAGTCAATGGAGTGGGAGCTAGCGGTGACATGATTAATGAGCTTGATGCCGATGTCCTGAACGTGACTTTGGTAATGGCGCATGCTGGCAGAGGAGATGATGTGTTGGATGAGAGGGCACGACCGTTCTCCTATGCTTACACGAGATTGCAACGATGGCCCGGATCCGCCGTGAAGTGGAGCTTCACACAGCCATGGTTGAGTTGGTGACTAATTGGACAACAAGCCATCTTGACTTCCACGCGGTTCTCGATGAAGCATGCAGGTCTCGGCACCTCCACACTTCTCAGAATGTTCACCCTGCCACTGTGACCCGTACCAACAAGGTACATACCCTCCCGCGGTACAGGAAGACACGACTAATAATGGGGTATGGCAGGTGTAGAAGGATCGAGGGTACTGATACCTGATGTGGACGGAAGCCATGGGCCTGATACCACTGGTCATGTAATCATTGGCGACTAATACCATCAGACCAATTATTTTTAGATTGCACCCACTCAACATAACAACCACTGCGGAGAGCGTAAAGGAGTCCATGAATGGCCCCGGCCAAATAATCCAACTCTGCATTATTGCTACGTCCCCGCACCAGGGACATCAAAGCTGCAATGTTATGACGTAGATAAGGCTGACATAGACTGTAAGGAGCTCAAGTTGCACAATTTTCGTATGATGCGCGAGGACCAAAGGTCGAAGAGAATGGTGACAACATCAATCCTCTCGAAGTTCCTGAGGGTTGACGAACAGCAAGCCAGCAGAGCCAATGAGGCCTGTGAAGTTTCAAAGCCCAAGGGACGACACATCATGGCTACCTTTATCACTGGATGCTTCAGCTTGGGGCCGAATCAAGAACATCTTTGATCAAAATCCAGATGCTGTGCTCGCAGATATCAAGATGCAGCAGCAAGTTGGAACAGTGCTGGTTGGAGTTTTGAACTTGGATCTGTAGGTTCTACGATGTGTACTTCCACCATGAAGCTTGGCTTCGCAAGAAGTCAGGCTCTTCGGCAATGCCCCTTGTAGACGTCGTTGGACATTGAGTGGGTTGACCACTGGAGCCCTACCCATGGTACCACAGCTCACCTGTATGACTGTTGGTTGTAGTGAAACAAGCAGCTTCCGGATCTATATAATATTGCTATATCCAGGTCACATTAAACGGAGAGATGATATCCTGAAGGCCCTTGACAACACGGCGAGGATTCTTGTCGTGAAACCGGAGAGCTAGACAGCAGGTGTCTCAGCACGTTTGGTAGGGCATAAGGCCCACTAATTATGATGAGGACGCCACACTGAGCCGTTGCAGTTCATTCAAAAGTATGCTGCATCCTGAACTAGGAACCTTCTGGTGACATTCCGGAGCAGTGGAAAACGCTAAGCTCCTAGAGAGGGAGTGGGAGTTGCGGTCTGACACAAGACAAGGATTCTTACAACAACCCCCCTGGCAGTTCCTAACAGTTGCTGCATGGACTTGTTGCTCTGTGCTCTGTCAGGTTTCGTCAGTGATGCACTTAGCAGCCCCGTCACAGCATGCGGAGGTTGACGAAGCAACGAGGCTTGCGACTTCCTGGGAAGTTTTTGTTTCCGGTTTCAAGTGTGGGCTCGAGAATGCATGAGGTTGAAACATAAAGTGCACATCCCCCCCATCAACTTGAGGAATTGTAATGTGACGCAGGTCAAGTGAGCGAGAGGGCGAGGGAATGAGTGACTGAGTGAGTATTGTAGAGCTAGCAGCTACTGCTGCACTTTGATCGAATTTGGAACTAGCAGGCAGGAGAGCTCGAGAAGAGATGCCACGCTGGCCGCCCTGTTTGTTCTCTCCATGCTGAAGGGTGCAGCCTCTCGGACAGCTTGGGGAGGTGCACTTGGTAAACCTAGCTTGTGCTGCATTGTTGTTTGAGCAGTTCACTGCCTGAACTATATCAGAGGGGGGGATTCGTGGAAATGCACTAGGGGTGGTGCTGCCACTCGCAGCTGGAGCAGTTGGTTAGCGGCTGGAACCGTTTTCACCCCTCAACATGCATAGTTGAGAGACCGAATCTTAATCTAACCTTCAAATGTTGTCAGGGTTTGTGTGTGTGGGGGTGCCGAGGACATCCAAATGCTGCCTGCTTCCTTCCGCGCAATGGAGCATGAGCCTTGCCCGCATATGAGCAAATACTCCTGTGTGATTGGAGTAGTGTGCGTGTATGGGCTTGACTGTTCGACAACGCTCGTCCCCTGCACCTTAGGATCTTCATTATTCCCCCAGCCAGTCCACTCCTCAGCAGAGCCTTACAGCAAGGTGTGCTACGAGCTATATGGCTATATATGTATCATATATATATTGTAAGGGCTCCGCCCCCTGCCGCCGACCCCGGGGAAAAGGCTCCGCCCCCTGCCGCCGCGTTGCGCCACGAGTACTGCGCGTACAACAGCCACGTGGCACACAGTACGTACAGCGGTCAGACGCCAGCTGCGACCGACGCCGCTGTCGCGGCCGCGGAGAAGACATGGCCAGAGCACGCAGAAGACCGCATCATGACCCACGTCCCCAGCTACCAGTGGCGCACTGCGCGCCCATGCAAGGACACCGCTGAAGCAAAGCAATGGCAACAAGAGTACATGGAAGAAGATGTCGTACAGTTGCAAACTTTGAAGCAACACCACATCCACCCAGTGTCTCTGGAGACCGGTGAGCGTATGCCACTCAAAGGCTGCCAAAAGGAAGACCGAAAAGGCGTCTGTAAACATGACTTTCCCCGCCTAGACTGGCTTTGCTCGCATCCGAAAATTTTGTGCCCGTGTGAATTACAGCGTCACGGCTTCGCGAACGCAGGCCGACGAAATCGCTTGGGCGCGTTGCATGGGCCATATGTGCACGCGTTCCTGAACCCATGTCATCCGGCCATCTTAGCGAGCATGCGTGGGGGCAACAACGACGTACAAGTACCGTACCGGCTTCCGTACGCGTGTGCAGACTGCGGTAGCACCATGACACCCGAGGAGCGCCGCGCAATTGCGTTGGGGGCACAAAGAGCGCAGGATGCACAAACAGGCTACTGTAGCGACTACTGCTCCAAGAATCAGCCGATGGGATTTCACGAAATCAAAGAGTTCCAGAAAGGCCACATGGCGCTCCACGCAGCCGTAGCGGAGAAAGACGTGCAAACCATAGGCAAAAGACACGCAACCCGTTTCCTCAGCGACGCCTACTGTAAAGGAGTGGTTCGGGGACAAGTCGAATGTTGCAACTTGCGGGCAAACCATCGCGAGGGACAAATCGTCGCAGCGGAGCGAATCTCAACCGCAGGTTTCGTGAGCTTTCCTGGCAAAGCGTACGTTGCTCTCTTGGAGGCCTTGGATCGAGACGCCGACCGGCAGGTGCCACCCCAGAAGTATACCCGTACGAAGGCTGCGCCTGGAACAGGAGCGCAACACTGGCGCGAAAGCGTCCCGGCCGAAGCCTATGGACACCGCCCCCTACAGTCGGAAGTCTGGTGGTTATCCCCATATGAGTTGACAATGTATTGGGAGATCGTGCCAACGCGTGTTCCTTACTGCCGCGCCGAGTGGGACGCAGCGCCCGTCACTGCCTGGGACGTGCGGCTCACACCCGCGGGCCATCACAAGTTATTGGCCCCCCCGGTCGACGCGCCGGCACGCTTGCGACCCGGTGCCCACTACACAGTTTGCTTGGACCCAAGCTCAGATCGGATTCTTTTCTCCGCCGCGGGCGCCACGGCAAGCTTGCGGCGCAATTGGTATCTGCAACGCCGTCGACGGCCGAAGTGCCCACACTTTGCCGAGAGCCCCGTCCCCAAGGGCTTCGCTGAGAACGCAGAGGGCAACGCGCGGTTGACCCAAGTGTATTTTCGAGCTTGGACGCTGAACGCCACACAAGCGACGGACAGCATTCCTTTTCTAGGCCACTTGCGCGGCGAGAATGAGTCCTGGGAAGCCTCCTTACGGCGCTGGCTGCGTCGGTTACCGTGCGCCGAAACGAAGCGACACGTCGGCAACTTTCTTTCCGTGTATCGCGTGCGACCCAGCGCCGAAGCAGACGGGAATAGCGACGACGACGGGGCGGACGAGCCGTTTGTGTTGACTCCGGCGCATCTACCAGGGGCGCTTCGCACCCAACTGCCCGCGCGCTCGCACCGCAGCGGTCCAGCCCACAACGACGACCGCGCCCATCGTGTCGACGCAGTGGTGCAGCAAGCCGACGCCCTGTGGTCGACGCCCGTCGCCGCGGACGCGTCGACGCGCGCAACACCGCACGCGTACGCCGACGTGTCGCCCGACGCCGTGCGCAAAGCAGCGCGTATCCACGCAACCAAGCAACGCCCCATGCCCGCGCCGGATGACCAGTCCGCCGCCGTGCAGCTCACGCCCGAGAAGACCAAGGAAGCCGTGCAAACGTGGCTTACCGAACTGGCAATGAAGGAAGACTCACGGTGGCCCCGGCACCGGGAAATCGCATACGCTAAGAATGGTGCGGAAGGAGTTGTTCGAACAGAGGTTGGGTTGGACACATGGAATACACTTTCAAGTCGTCAGCTTTCAAGCAGTCATGGCCGAACTCTTAGATGGAGACACCATACATCATGCCTTGGGCTTAGACTGGGCGGGGGAGGGGAACCAGAAGCAGCTACGCGTGCTAGAGCGCACGCGACAAACCCTGCAATGGCGATGGTTACTTCTGGATGAATTCAGCATGGTCAGTGCCGAACTACTGGCGCAATTGGAGCATCGCTGTCGCGAAATCATGCGCGACCTCAGCCTGGGCAAGTTCGCCGCAGATGGCAGCGTAGAACCTTTTGGTGGCCTCAATGTGATTCTGTCCGGGGATTTGTTTCAGCTGCCACCACCGAAAGGAACCTTCCTCGGAGATGTTCCATGGGACCTGCTGACAGGCAAGAAAAAAAACGAAGCAAGCGACCGCCCTGCACGGTCAAACGCTGCTCTGGGGCGGGCCAGCTGTAGGCATGCAAGGGGTGACTGAGCTCGTCCGCTGTGAACGGACAGGCGACACATGGCTGACAGAAGTACAAAACCAACTGCGGCACGGAGAGCTCTCGGAGGATAGCCACGCTTTCCTGCACGGGAACGTGACCTCGGTCCCGGGAAGCTGGACTCAGGGACGCCCGGCCTGCGGTGCACGTGCGTGCGCAGCACTGGTGGGTCAGAACCCTGACACGATTCGTCGGCATGAGTGCGCGCGGTGCGCCGAGGAGCGTGTCTCCCGGCAGCTCGTCGCGCACGGACCAGCGGATCCACGGTTCCAGGAAGCTTTTGCAAACGCCACCGCCATCTTTGCCACGAATGACGTAAAATTCCACGTGAACAAACGTCGTGCTCTCTGCTGGGCGGCAGCGCACAAGGTTGTCGCGCACATCGCCGTGGCCCGGGACGTGGCCTCTGCGACTGTCTTGCAAGACAAGACGGACCTCGCCGCGGAAAAGTTGCAGTGGCTGCAAAGACACGACCAAGAGTGTGGGGGTTTGTACGGCCTCTTACCTTTGTGTCTCGGCTTGCCCGTGCGCGCGACAGATCACTTAGATCGGCAACGTGGTATTTTGAAAGGCTGCCGAGGAGTCGTGGTCGGGTGGTCGTCACCTGCAGAGGAGGTAGTTGGCGAAGGTGTGGCTCTCTGGAACAGATTGCCCGAAGTCGTGTACATCCAGTTTCAGACTGCCACGACATGGCACATTAGCGGGATGCCAGACGCCAATGTGTATCCGGTGGCGCCATGCAAACGAGTGTGGCTCCTGGATCGCCAAAAGAAATACCCGCAGTTGCGAGTTTGGCGCACGCAATTTCCGCTCGCTCCCGCCTTTGCAATCACGGCGCACGTTGCCCAGGGGCAAACCATTGTAGAGGGCGTTATCACCGACTTGAACATCGGCCTCGGCGGGAACCCCTTTACAGCGTATGTTGCTTTCACGCGTGTCCCCGGTCGACAGAACCTCCTGCTGTTTCGTCCATTCGACGCGAAACCCTTCCAGCGCGGAATCGGCGTTGGTCGGACGCTCTTGCTGCGACATCTGCGCGGCGAAAAGATAGATTGGACCGCGCTGTTGAACAAATACTGCGAAGAGCGGCAGTCCTGCGTTTGCCAGCAACGCAAACAAAAAGGGGCCTTTACGGTAGGGCAATGGAAACGCGATGAGGCGGACCGAGTTTGTCGTGAGTGCGGCCGACGCTATGCCGACGCCGGCGCGCCGTGGCAGTGCTGTATCTGCAAAGTCTGGCACGCCGAAGCCAATTTTCCGCCGAAGTATCACCGACCGCAGTGCACCTTTTACCGCGTGTGCCAGACGTGCGAGGAGCGGAAGCCGTGCGTTCGGTGCGCTGCGCGCAAACCTGAAGCAGCCTTCGGCCCCGCCGCCTGGAAGGCGCGCGACGTCGACCGCAGAATTTGTCGCGAGTGTGCGCGTAAGGAGCGCGGCTTGTGGCAGTGCACCACGTGTAACATGCGCAAAGAACTCGCCCAGTTTAGCGCGTGGGTAGCCAAACGAGCTGCAGGCCAAGATGGCCATCAAATTTGTAACGGCTGCAACACCTTGCGAGTCGCATGTCGATACGCCGGCCGCACCAATCATAGACTAGCGCGCCTCCGCGCCCGCGCCGAGCAGGGACGTCTCCGCGCGGTACTCCCGGCGCTCCCCTCCGATGCCACGGCCAGGGGGTCCGACCTCGACCGTCGCCGGAGGCTCGTGGCATCGCCGGAAGTTTGCTCCCACCTGGCTCGCGCGCGTAAACTCTTGGCGGAGGAACACCGCCGCGGTCTGGTCGCCGAGGTTCGTGCTCAGATTGCTTCGTTGGCGACGTCTGCGCTTGCGTTCCCGCAGACGCAGAAGGGCAGCCAGACACCCCCCGCCCACACAACCGCTAAGCCAGCGCCCACCTCGCCCGGCACCGTTGCATTGGAAGGGAAACCTTCCTACACATACGTTTGCCCATTCTGCGCCCGACAGACGCAGAGTTCCATCCACACCGGCCAGATCGACCATCGCCAAGTGTGCGGCAACCAGTTCCGCGTTTCCGACGGCCTCGTGCAAGGCCGCAAACACGCCCATGCGTGTCCGAAGTGTGGGACGGTGGTGTTCTCCACGAAGGAGGTGGGTCGACTTCAAGTACAACACACACAGCCCAATGGCAAACCTTGCCGCTGCTGTAGCTGGACGGTGCTCCAGAGAAAGTAGACACATAGCTCAGGACCCGCTCCCAGTGTTTTCCTCCGCCACAGCTTTCCACAATCTAATTCGAGACCTCCGCGTACGCCCCCAGAATGTCTAACGTTGCTTTCGGAACCCGTAAAATAAGTCTGTGAAGCAGCGTCGAGCACGCCCTGTCTTCGCTTCAAGCCGCCGGCTGTCACGGAAACGCC